TATGAAATTTTTATATCATTTTCTTATGAATTTATTTAGCTAGTGCTGAAAATTTCATAAAAAGACTTGTTCGGAGATTTGTGCCAAGATTTTTTTCAAAATTCGAATCACGATCTCCTCAACGACAACAACCTACTGTTAGGTCCACTCAATCAGGAAGTACCGTCATTGCAACTCGACCTCAAATTCCTAATCAACGTCCTAGACCAACTTCAATAAATTCTAGTCCTTCGATCATCACAAGTCAAAGTCCTTATCCTACTAGTACAGTTTCACCCGTTGCATCTATCCCTGATAACTCTAATAATAGTTTACAAACTAGAAATATAATAATTGGTATTTCAACTTTAACTGGAATTGTTATAGTTATTTCATTATTATTTTGCATTTTTAAAAAATTACGTAAAAATCAACGTGATAATAAAAAAGATGAAGTTCTCAACGGACTTTCAAGAAATTTTAATTCAGGTCCTGGAGATGGAAATTCTGATGGAATGAGAAGTATAAGTCAATCAATTAACTCATCACAACAAGGGGCGAATTATACTAATAGTTCTGCTCAAAGTAATAATGCTTCATATGGAAGTGGTGGTGTTAATTCATTATATCAAGCTCCATATCCATCAAGAGGTCATTACACAAGTTATACAGGTCCTTATACTAGAAGTGATTACTCGGATCATTCAAGTGGTTCCTACCCTATAGATAATAATTATTACGGTTATGCTGGAGGTACTGTTCAAGGTTACCCTTCCCAAAATTATAATACACAAATACAACCACCACAACCATACTATAATCCAAATTCGAATTTAGTTACTTCAAACTTTTTACCATCTAGCAATATGGATCGTAGGATAATTAGAGATGATTTATTGGAAATTGAGAATGAAGTAGATGAAAGACATGGATCTTTAAGAAATTCTAATCAGGTCGAAAATAATGATTTAATAGTGCCTAATGAAGATGATGGTGTACAAGAATCATTACGATTATCTTCTAGAATGTCAAATCAGAGTGATAAAAGAAGTCAAACGTATAGAAATGTTACATATTCAAATCCGAGTGTTAACAGAAATCAATCGTACCGAGGTGTTACATATCCGATTCCGAGTGATAATAGAAGTCAAACGTACCGAAATATTTCAAATTCAAGTGCAAGTGATGACGGAAGTCAAACGTACCGAAATGTTACATATTTCTAGTTTATAACGTTTAAAAGTTTAATTTGATAATTATATAAATTAGTAATTTTTGAATTAATGTTTATAACGTTTAAAAGTTTAGCTTTATAATTATATAAATTAATAATTTTTGAATTGATTTTATAATCTTTTAAATATAATTAATACCATATCTTGTTATATAATTTAAAAAATTAAAAATTAAAAATTAATGATTATCATAAAGATACAGCTACTCTAAACTTAAATACACCTATTGTTTCAATATATATGGGGACGACCAAGCTCAATAGGATTACTATGAGTTACTTCTTAGGCAACCTATTTTTTAAACTTGTCAAAAATTTAGCCTCTTTTAAATATTTCTGGTCTGCAGACTTTCAATGTAAATATGAATTGTGAATAATAAAAATATATTGGTTCAACCCAAAAATATTGTCTTCTAATTAGAAATTCTATAATCTCGATTATAATTTCAATAGCACAATTCTTATTCGGTTCCGTTCACTTCACCGACATCATTTTACCGACAGACCATTATGGTCCAAATTAATAATTACCAATTAATATCACATCCCGATCATAATATGATTTTCATATAATTCCTGTTACCCGAACCAAATCACCATACATAGTCATGTCTCCGACGAGAACAATAATAAATCTATACCATTTTACCCTTTAACGCTACATAAAAAAAATTAAAAATAAAAAAATTATTAATATCTAAAATTTTATTATGATAAAAAAATTGTTTCTAATTTGGGTTTTTACTTTAATATAATGCCAATCTAATCCTAATTTAATTTTAAGTATTTATTTTTTTAGAAAGTAATTTATCGCATCTATAGTATTTTTAGTTACTGTATTTTCTTTTTTTTTAATTTTATCATAAAAAATCGTGTTACACGGATATGCAAGAATATTCGAGGACATTAAATATGCTTTGGAGTAGAAATCCCGCTACGTACGCTTATGACAAATTAAGAAGATTCAATAGCTGATCATTACCCGATAGGTTCGTATCACTTCGAACAAAAAAAATAAAACTCGTATTTGGGGCATAACTTAGACGTAAGTACCATAAGCTTAAAATGCAATCAACAAAGAATGAAGATAAAAGAATTCTTAATGGAGAATGTACTTTGCCAGAAGATTATATTTCATCTAGTATAGAGTATATTACTGCTATCGGAAATGTAGCAGAATCTTTCTTTCCATTATTGAAAGTAGCTACTACAGTTGTTTCAGAAATTTATAAAGTTTATGATAATGCAAAATATAATTTAAATATTTGTGATTCATTAATGGATCGTGTTAACGCTGCAGAAGTTGTTATAAAAACTTTAGAAAGACGAAGAGTTATGAATAAAGAAAATTTTCAAAATCTTGAATATCATAAATCTTTTTTACGATTTATTGAAATATTAGGAAAGATTAAATCATTTATTGGAGAAGTATCTACTATTCAAGGTTTTAATAAATTTTTTAATGCAACTGTAACCAGAAATAAATTTAGTAACCTTATAAATGAATTTGAAGTTACTATGAATGAATTGCATTTTACAATGTGTGTATCAGATGAAGAACAAAGAAGAATAGATCAACAAAGTTTAGATTTTGATATCAAAACTATGTCAAAGGTTTTTATAAAATTAGATAAAATTTTTTGTTTAAAATTTCAATTTTTTAATTTAAATAATAATTATTTCATTTTTTAAATAGTTTCTAGAAAAAATTGAAGGTAACATTATAGACAATGAGAATACTCTTAATACAGTCCTACAAGAAGTCATGATTATAAAGAAACAGATGGAAACCTCTAATGCAAAGAAATTTAGAGTAACTAATATACCTTCAAATGAATTATCCGATCCCATATTTTGTAATACAAATCGAGTTCAAGGGAGAAAAGAACCATATATTTTAAAAAAAATTTATAAAGGACAGGATGTCATTTGTAAACCGGCAACTATTGTACAGGATGACACCGAGGATAGTCAACGAACTCAAGCCCAACTAGCAATTTTAAGAAAATTAAGGGACTCACCAAATATTCTTAAATTTTATGGTATCTCTAAAGTTGATGGAGATCAAGTTATGGTTTTTGAATATGTTGAACTTGGTACTCTCAAAGAATTTTATTTGAGAAAAGATAAAGAAATTTCATTACCCAATAAAGTACAAATTGCTCTAGATATTTGTCGTGGTCTTACATTCTTGCATTCTTGTGATATACTTCATCATGATATAAGATGTCAAAATATCATGGTATGCTTTATAAAAAAATTATACGATAATTAAAATGAGTTAAAATAAAAACGCATTAAGGGTTAATAATTAATTTATATTATAATCAAACCAGATGACCGCACGTCTTGAACCTAAGATTTCTAATTTTAAATACTCTCGACTTGTTGACGCGAAAACTATTAACATAAAACACATAAAAGAAATATTTCATTGGATGGCACCAGAAAAAATGTTAGATTCAAAAGACAGTCCAGTAAAATATACATTTAAATGTGAAATTTTTAGGTAAAATTAATAAATTAAAAATATTTTGATTCCATTAACTATTTTTATATACTTATTACTTTATTTTCAATAAATTAGTTTCGGAATGTTATTATGGGAACTTTCATTTGAAAAAATCCCTTATGAAAATATGAATATTGAACAAATAAGAGATCACGTTTTGGAGGGTAAACGGGAAGAATTCCATTGGAAACCTGAAAAGCCAGAGATTAAAAATATCCAGAAAGGCCTTGGAGAAATTATAATATCCGGTATATTTACATTTCACTATTATTAATTTCACATATTTTATTATTTAAAGTATATTATTATATTGTATTTAATTGATTTTTAAATAATTATTTTAAGCTTGGCAAGATGTACGTTATAGAGCATCTCTTCAAAAAATATTTTTGGATCTTTGTAAATTAGCATCACAAAATGATAATAACGATGATTTAACATCAAATTTAAATTTATTACCTGATAATTATGAGGATCATAAGAAATATCGTTTACCTTATACATTAATTCAACCATTTGAGTCTGGACTTGAAGCTCACAAAATAAAAGATCGAGAGACCGCATGGAAAATATTTTGTGCACATGCAGAATTAGGAAATATGACTGCTAAATATTGGAAAGGTTATTACCTGTCTGAAGGATTTGCAATAGATAAAGATAAAAAACTTGCATG